GGTTTGCTTTTTTGTGGTTTCATTTACTGTGTTTGTGGTTTGCATTAGGAGGTTTCTGGTGCGCTTTCGCAAATGTTGTGGTTTGCTTTGTGAGGTTTGTGGTTTGTTTTATGAGATTTGTGGCATGCATTAGGAGGTTTCTGGTTTGCATTAAGAAGTTTCTGGTGTGCTTTCGAAACTTTTGTGGTTTGCTTTGAGAGGTTTCTGGTTTGTTTTAATATATTTGTGGTCTGCATTAGGACGTTTTTGGTTTGCTTTACCGTGTTTGTGGTTTGTATTAGGGGGTTTCTGGTGTGCTTTAGAAATATTTCTGGTTTGTTTTACCGTGTTTCTGGTATATTTTAGACAATTTATGGTCTGCATTAGGAGGTTTCTGGTATGCTTTCGAAATAATTGTGGTATGCTTTGTGAGGTTTGTTATTCTATCCGACGTTCTTACTAAATGAATGGAATTAGTAACAATAATTGGTAATGTGTATACTTACCAGATTCGTATACATAATTACATAGTTCTCTCTTAATTAATTATGTTTTCACACCTAATTAATTCTTGTCTCTCTAATTCATTTGCTTGTACGGAGGTGAGGACATGGACTGGATAATGAAATTCACCACAACAGCACAAGCAGTAGCTCGAGCAGCAGGAATCACCATTAGAACCCTAGCGAAGGCCTTCCGCCGTGAATCCACCACAAAGGAAATCGATTCCGGCCAACCCCCGCATCACCTCCTCCGGCTCCTCGACCACAACCTCACCGCCCGCCGAGACATCAATTGAAGCAGGGGTTTACAACGTTCCCGATTTTGTTACCAACACCTCTCCTCCCCTGCTCTTGACCTTGGGTCCGCCGAGTTGACGGCTCCAGAATCATCATACACTCCAAAGGCGGTGTAAATCGTCATGAGATCTACAACGGTGGAGGCCATCAACGGGGGAGAAATGGCAGAGTTCATTTCCAGACGGCGGTGGCGGGGAAGAAGCGGCGCGGAGGAGCCTACCGATAGTTGAGGTTGAAAAGATCGGCGTCGGTGTCAGAAAGGAGAGGGGATATGCAGAGAAACAGCCGGCGGAAAAGCTGCCACGAATCGCCCGCCACACATTACGACTTCAGATCTGAGAAGACGTGGCTATGGCCTCTACGATTTCTGATCGGATGACGGAATCCAAATCTAGAAGACGGCGGATGAAAGCGACCTTCTGCGGGTAGCACACCAGCGCCACCGTGTCGCTCTTCGTATCCATCGCCGTCGTACTAAACTCGTCGGAGGCGGTGTGGTTGTGGTTAGGAGGGAGTCGGCTGGTGCGATGGCGATGGCAGAGGATTGACGCCGGAGAAGAAGAAAAAATTGTTCAGAGGTACAAATTTGGTCGATGTTGATGGGAAGAGAGATAAATAAAACACGCTTAGAGTATTTAGATTTTTTTAATTTGTTATATTCATTGTTCTTTTACTAGTATGCCCTTGTTGTTAGTATAACAACACTTTAAGTGTTGTTATACTATCCGCACCCCCCAATTTACTACTCAAGCCTCACACAAAGCCCAAATCTCTCATGGTCCAAATCAAACACAACCCAAAATTAAATCTCTTTCAGCCCACAACTCCTATCCATGTCTGCTGCTAAATGCTAGTGCTGACCTAACCCTAACAGAGAAGAAGGCAATGCAACTCGCCAACCGCGCCGAATCCTCCTCTCATCTCTCGCCCCCGCCGACTCTCGTCTTCCCTGCTGTCTCCTATTTGAGAGGTCGCCGGTGTCATTCCCCTTCTCTCTGCTCTCTTCTCCTCGCCTGTATTCATGATTCAACCCAGAAAATCAACCAAAAGCAAAATCTCAAACTAGCAAAGCCTAGAAAAAATCCAAATTAAAAAACCACATAATCGAGTTAACCAAAGAGGAGGGACATGGATTTGCTCTTGCTGTGCACGACTGAAGCGGCGGTGGCGCCATTCCCCTTTCGTTTACAATCTCTATCACCCCTCCCCCTTTCGTCCTCGATCGAGCTCCACGATACCATAAATCTAATTGCAAACTTAAAAAACCGACATGGATCTAAATCCAAACAACAGAAGAAGAAGATGAAGAAGAGTAAGAAGAAGAAGGGGTTAGACAAGTTAGACGGGGAAGACCCTTTTTTCGATATGATAGCTTTGTAGTGCTCTTCTTCAAGCATCTGCCTCTGAAACTTATGCAGATGTAAAGTAGAGAGAAGGAGGAGGAGAGGGAGAAGAAGAAGAGGAGAGAGAGGAGGTGGGATGGGTAAAGGGTGGCTACCGAATGGAGAGGAAGGGACTCGCCGGGACAGACGTCGGCGACTAATGGAGCTGGATCTCTGTCTCTGATGTTGCGACGGAGAGAAGAGAAAGAGGAGAAAATGAGAGAGGTTTTGAGGAGGAAGAGAAAGAAAATGGATTTCTTTAGGTATCTTTTGTCAGTGAAAGAAGAAGTAAAGAGAGCGAGAGAAGATGAGAACTCGACTTTTCCGTTTCGAATCGAGTGATATTTCGGTTCGATCAAATCGAACCGAAATATAATTCGGTTCGGAATTGGTTTGGCATTTGACTGAAATTGGAGTACCGGTATTCATATTTTCAGTTCGGTTCAAACCGAACCGATCGAATGCCCACCCCTAGAAGGAGCCAAGCGTGATTGTGCTCCCGCTTCGCCATAGTCTCTCTTCTTGCTGCAAAGTAAGCTTCCAACTTCCCTCGCTTTTCTTCTGCTTGGGTGAAAATGATGCTTTAACTTTTCTTGCTTCACCATTGAGCGACATCATTTTAAGCAGGCGAAGTCGGCAGATCCTGTTGTATTAGAAGTCCTAAAAGTGATACTTGTGGAGTTAGCTGAGCGTGTGCTACTATTCAAGAGCACATTAGTAATTGCAGATTCTATATGTGTGGTTATTCCGAATCTGGTAAGTTAGTTGAACTCACATCTCTTATTCTGCCAATTTTCTTGCAGTGTTGATTACATCTGTCTTTGGAGTTAAACAGGACAGCGGAGAATGTGAGGAACTTCAGTCTCTAAGCTAGAGAGAGTATGTTTGATGTGAAGCTAAACCTTCAACCAAGATCAGTGGTGGGAAGCAACATGCATGTTAAAACACATATTTTCGTCAATGACTCTTCCCTGGGATATTAAAAGGCATACCTTGGAGTTCTTTCTTTATATTACTAATGAAAGTTTCACACTGAATTGGCACCGTCATGGACCAATAAGAGGTTGTTCATCTATATGCCTTGTTTAGTTGTTTGCTACAACACATGTACATTCTCAAAAGTCCAACTTACTATTATTAATATACCTCTTATATGTATCTTCTTCTCCTTACCATTTGAACCAACAATTTTATGAAATTACCAAGGTCTCCATGTTTGCGCCTGATTCCACACTGAGAAAAAAAATGCTTTCGAAGCTCTGAAAAGGATAAGCTTTTTTTTCGATTTTGAATGGCACTATAAAAGTGCACGTGTTAGTTAGCTAGAGAATGACCATGGAAAGGACTTAACAAATGAAATCAGGTACTTGCAGATACTCCCATACCTGACTGGATCGATATCCTACAAGCTCTGATAACAAATGCAGATTCGTCCTTCATGGTAAAAACACCCTTGTAAGCTTGCATATTGAAATGTCATGCCTTACATATGTTAAAGATATGGGCAATAATTTCCACTAGAAAAATGGTCCGCGCTCCGCGGCGAGTATTTATAGGTTTCTCAACGCATAGTTTATTGTTTTAATTGGTGTGCAACAAATATCATTAGGTAACTTAATGTGCATAGTAGAAAGCAAGTCGTCCACAACATTATTGTAAATCATGAAAGTAGTCCAAATAAAATTCAAAATGTATGATAATGGTCTTGGCATCCTGACATGATCTACTGTAACGGTCGGTGCGTATGTGATTCTCTAATGCTGTCTTTGCCTGTATATTTATGCAGATTGCAAGAAGAAGTGAAACCAGTAATATATTATGATCATGGGAAGAGTAGTAGATGATAAACTATCTGTATTGATCACAGCAAGAGTAGTTCACTAAGCTAGCTTGTTGATGTTTGCCAGTTCGTTCGTGAAGTTGGAATGCTTACCTGTGTAAAAGTTAAGGTTGTTTTGCTTTGTCATGCAAGCTAGTTATTGTGAGAACGACACTTGCTCAACGTTTACGCTCTCTGCATTAGAAATAAATTATGTAAGTAATGAAAGTAATAGGTATAATTTTGGTCGTATGTTATCATAGGTAATTACCTGTGTAAGATTCATTTGCGTCCCTGATTTCAGCAAATGTTTCCTCATAGACAATATTCCTGGTGAATCCTTGCGAAACATCTTCATCATTCTCAATTAGTATATGTAGACCGTCAGCTGATCGTACTCGCGAAACTGCTACATATAGTAGGGGTGGGCATACGGTTCGGTAAAACCGAATTCAAACCGAACCGAAACCGAATAACATTAATTCGGTTCGGAATTCGGAAGAGAAAAGGGTATATTTCGGAAACCAAGGTCCTTTCGACCGAACCGAATTTCCGAATTCCGAACCGATTTTCCGAATTACTATAATTGCAAGTTCCAAATGGTGGATTTTTATGTTTGTACTTATTATGAGACTTAAATATTTGAATTATGTTAGTGTTTTATGACTTATGTGTTGAAATATTTGATTTTATCATTGATGATGCATTTAATTGCATATTTATTGTTTACATTAGGGGTGAAAAATAATTTAAAAGAGAAATAATACAAGCTAACCTCACAAGTTCGGTTTTTCATACAAAACCGAACCGAACCGAATTATATTTCGGTTTGAACCGACCGAACCGAATTATAATTCGGTTCGAATTCGGTTTGAGGTTTGATGGAACTCGGAAATCCGGTATACATTATTTCGGTTCGGTTTGAACCGAACCGACCGAATGCCCACCCCTAACATATAGTTGGTCGTGACTGAACACCGGCTTAGGCAAGTAAACTCCAACTATATCTAAAGTGTGTCCCTAGCTCTTGTTGATTGTCATTGCGTAGCTTACCCTGGTCGGGAATTGTCTCCTTTTCAAGATAAATGGCCAACGATGTTCTGTAACATTAAGTACGATTGTTGGAATGACAACGAGGTCTTTATCATGCGTTCCATCAATGATTTTTCCTCGAATCACATTTTTACCCAAATGAGTGATCATGATTTTTGTCCCATTGGTTAGGCCAATTTTGGGGTTTAGATTACGAAGAAGGATGACTGGGGTCCGGACTTTCAATTGTATTTCATGCTCTTGCACTCCATTGAAGGATAATTTGTTCAAGAACTCTGTCGGATATTCTTCTTTCAGGGAAGCAATGTTGGGGGAGTCATCCTCAATCGAATCTAAACTGTAATATGTCTTGCTTTGTCCCTTTACTTTAGCCAACATATATGAGTTAATGTCAGAAATTATGCTACTTGTGGGTGTCACAATAGCTCGATTCTTGATGTAGATGGCATTCTCATAGTTAGCATGGAAATCATTATAAACAATATATGTAATTGCTTTAATCTTGTTTCCTGTATGAGGGACTATAAACTTATATGGAATTCGTATCCAATCTGGGTAGATAGATGAACCAATTGTTGAGTGTTTGATCCTTCCATCGCCGATAGCTAGAACCCAAGATGAAAAATCTTTTTCGTCATAAACAGTGAGTAGGTTGTTGGGGTTTGAGTTGATGCGCATATTGACTGTTAAAGGCAAGACCGTTAAATATTTCGAAAGATAAGATTTTGTTAGAGAAGAATCGATACTTTTCTTCATGACTGCCATCAACTACAACTAGCAACGTTTGTATGAAATTACCACCAAGAAGAACAGACTTGCCACCGAAAGGCTTATACCCATCTCCGCTTAATGGACATTTTATGATGTCTCAAAATGTCCTATCCACCGCCTCGAAAGAGAATCTATGTGTCATTGGAGCTTCATCTCAAATTATTAGTGATGCTTCCCTGATGAGTTGAGCAAGATGTGTTCCCTTCTTAATCATGCAAGTAGAAGCCTTATCGATGTCGGGAGGTATTTTAAATCTCGAATGTGTCGTTATTGCATCAGGTAATAGCGTAGCTGCTATGCCCGAAGAAGCAACAACCAAGACAATTTTCTTCATGCTTCTCAATTTTGTAGTTAACATATCATATATGAATGTCTTGCCCGTTCCTCCATTTCCATATAGGAAGAGCAACGATCCTTGCTCAGAGGTTACAAAATGGAATACTGTGTCATATGTTTGTCTATGTTTTTCATTAAGTGAAGCAAACTTGATTCTGGCCGTTTTTTTTTGTTCTGTGATGTCGTAATCGAGTTGCTCTGCGATGAGGTTGTTGACCAGGAGATCACTCTGATCCCATTTTGGAGTCAGTAGGTCGACGTTTTGTAGTGTAGTGGAATAATAACTCAGAAGTCTTTGTAGCTCCAATAGGACTGAATTCTGTAGAGATTCTTATGGGGGTTGCTAGTAGCTTGCTGCATTTTGTCTGCGAGCTCTATACACTATATCATCTGCCATTTATTCCCATACTTTGAAGCTCTGTTTGTTTCCTGTACATATAATATCCCAGTGTGAAAACCATCTTCTCTGTACGGAAAGAGCAATGGAAAATATAAAGCATCAAATTTGGGGTTGAGACTGGATCTACGCCGTAGACCCTCACTCCTGTGATCAAAAATAACATCTCTATCATCACTATCTGGACGAAAATCTCCTGGAATTAGTCCAACCAACTTCTGGTCAGTAGGTAGTTCATATTGTTCTACATTTTTCACTCGAGCACCAACAATCCTAAGTCTCAGATTTTGATTTGCATGATTTTGTAGATGTGCTAGTACTATTCTTAAGCTCCTTACCAACTCATTTGTTTCATTAAACATTTCAATCAATCCCAAAACAGTCTCTGAAAGCAAAGCATCATCATTTCTTGAGAAGTTGGACATCCTGTCTTGTACTTCGTGGCGGGATCAAACACATATAATTGTGCAAAATTTGGTCTTTGACCATTAGGTGGCAGTAAAGAACTAATGCGGTGATAGTTCTCTCCACATATAACCATCGAATATGGTCCTATTGAGCTGAAGATTTGTTGATCAATTTGTGCACCAAAGGATGTAAATGTAAAGGCACCGTTATAAGGCCGTCGATTTTTGGCTAAGTGATTTGCTAGTGAATCGCGGTTGACATCAAGAAGCTTTTCCAAAAATGGTGGTGTTGGCTTAAGAAGTGGCAAACGTATTCTCCCTTGCTGACAACACAATGTAAAAATAGGTGTCTTGCTTGGCATGTTGTTGTTGAGTTGTTCTTGTGGCCAGAATCGCGCCCCAAAATGTTTGCAAACTAAGGTTGGCAACCCCAAATCTAGGATAGTATTATCGAAATTCTGCACTGTAACTATTGGTATTGGTGGTTCTTCAGTGTCTTCTGAATGTTGTTCAGTTTCAATCGAAGAAGGATTTTGAGAACCATATTCTAATCTTTGTTCAGCCTACGACTGCAATTCTGGTAATGGTGGATTCTCAATTGTTGCTATGTTGTTTCTATTGGTATCAGTTGAGAATGGTTGTCTGAATGGATTGAAAGATGCTGAAGCTAGCTTCTTTGATCGCCTGTTTATCCCTGTGTTCCTTCGTTTTGACGGTTCTGCAGTAGTCCCTGTTTGATGGCCATCTGTTGTTTTCCTTCTTCATTTCTGCATCGCTGTAGTATGAGATATGTATAGCCCTTCTTCTTCCATAATCCGTAACAAATGCGAAAGAGATATTCCTTTGATGTCTTGGACCGCAATATCAAACAATAGAGTTAGTCACTTTGATAGACGATATTGAAATAGAGAATACTAATTATATGATCTCCGTCAGCTTGGGCTTACGCAAAAAAAAAGTGCCAATGATTTGTCTGAAGCTTGGTTGAAACTCATTGGGTTCGTGAATATTTATGGTGGTTTGAGTCTTTTTAGTTTCTCAGCAGACAATGTTTTCCTTTTCCTTTTAAGAATTGACTTGCGGATGTTTTAACCAAATAGGAGTCTTGTAAAGGAATAAAGGTGATAGATTGGGTGTTTTTTTCCTTTTTCGTGTCTTAGTGTGAATTTTGGTCCTAAGTTCTTAATGGTATGCGTTTTTTTTTTTTTGCCAACTTCAACTGTTTGGTACCGAAGTAGTAGGTTCTAGTTTGAGGGATTTGAAGCCATCTAGAGTTGCCTCAGTTAGATTGTTTATTTCTTTATTCTTCGTTGGATATCATTCTCTTTCGGTTGATTCTTTCAGTGTGCCCTCTTGGTAAACATACATAAATGCCTGATAGAATATATCGTTCCCTTGATTTCGGAAGAACTACAGAGAGCTCTCAGAAACTTGCACGTATCAGATGTGTTGTTTTCTGCATGGATCAAAGACAAGGTTTACTAACTTCATTTGGACGATTGTTTCATTTCATTTTAACGTCTTTATTGCTTTTTTGTTCATGAATTCATGTGTGTTGGAGATTATGTATCATTGATGGTTTCTTCTGTTCTTGTCCCTCATGGGTTTTCTTTTTCCTTGTGATACCATCAACTATTAGACATTCGTAATTGGAGTACTCTTGATTTCTTGAAGCCTCATCTGTACTGGTGATGCCATCGGCGGTGGTGATTAAATGTTCATTGAGCTAAGTTTGGTAGAGAAAAAGAATGTCTTGTTATCATATTTTTTCCACTGATGGGAAGGCAAGCAAATTAAAGGGCATGAAAATAAACTGACTATCTTTCTCATTTTATTGTTAAGGTGAGAATCTAAGAAGTTGTAATGATATATTATGTCATATATTATAAACATTAAGACTATAAAGCTATAGCTATAACATGTTTGAAATCAGACGGGAAATAGAGTGGTTGTATGAAGCCACCGGTAATGAATATTGGCTACATGTCATTCTTTTCGAAAACTGTAGTACATGGATATTAATTCCAAAATATATTGTAACGACACAAAGGTGTATTTCAAATGTACTTTCAAATATAATGACAATGTAGATGAATGCTTATGTAAGATCTAAAGAATATTTAAGCAACAGTCGTTAAACATAAACATTCAAAGTGGAAAAAGAAATGGTTTAAATACTTTTTTTGCCAAGCTGAACTTTCTAATGAGCATATTTCCTTGAAGGTAGTCGCTTGCGTTTCCCCATAAGTTCAGCAGAATTTGATGGCATAGTGGGTGGTGTTTCAGTTGATGACAATTGAGAGGCTGCCGCTAGCTTTTCCTTCTTAACTTTTGCCAGCGGTGAGTTAATGATACAGGAAAAAAGGAAGTTCATATTAGTTTTTGTGCAGTTAATTATAGTATATGATGTTGATGGTCAATAATAACAGTGGTATTCAATCTACATTAATTTTCGATGTCATTGATCCTATTATGTTGTTACCTGTTCATTTTATTGCTGCCTTTTCTGGCTGCCAATAGGCATGCCAAAGTTTGGCCATCGTCAGAAGATGCTATCTCATCACCCGAAAATGTTTCTTTGATCATAACCACTTTGTCCTTGCTATGGTCAGTGGTAGGAGTTACCCAAATTGAATGAGGGAAATCAAATTAACTAATGCACGAAAATGATTGATTAAACATTACATATGTAACGGCCAGTAGATTGTGTTTGTGGAGCTATAGTCAGTAGTAGTAAATGGTAATAAGTAGTTGTTACCTATTTATGCATGACTTTTCAACGTCTCCTTTTGTTTCTTTTGTTTTTTGTGTTTTTGTTTATGGAATCATAGTTGTTCCTATACACAATACAAACATCAGTTAAGACGATGAAATTGGTTTAGTCATGGTTTATAACTATATAACATTATCGTGTGTATGGCACATTGTTCATATTGAAGTCAATGCATATAGTTTCACAAACCTATTCTTGTTGGTTTTTGTTCTCACATTGATCTTGGCTGACGGGTTTTCGCAGGAGATTCTTGCATTTTGCAATGACTCTATCAAAGGTTCATTGTCGTTAGAAGGTGGTGTCTTGATCATGCAGTCTCCTTCATCAAGTTTTTTCGATGAAGTTGATCTAACATAGGAAAAATCAGTAAGATTGTGTTTAATAAGGTTGTTTCATTTGAAGAAGCTACTGTGACAAAAGCGGAAAAACATAAGAAGTGATTGCCACATGTTTTTGTAGTTCCTTTTCTTTTTTGTCTTCAATCCCACGTAAGCTTTGCTACAAAGATAGTGGATGTATAATATGATTGGAATTTGTATATATTGAATGAGAGAAAAAGAGTAGGAATGTCTTTCAAAAAGGAAACACAAATGTTGTGTACTCAATTTTGTTCTTGGTGTTGCACATGTAAACTCGGATCCATTTGCAATTTCCCTAAATAGTAGATGGGATTAAAGTAAATATTGATATCTAAAATTGTATCAATCCAAATTTATGAGCAAATGTTGTTCATGATGATATTAAATTCAAACCTGGTTTGCGATTCCAAAGATAGAAACTTATTTTTTTCTGTTTTGGCTGTCCGCTGTTGAATCCCAATGATGTGTTGATTGTAAAGTCACCATCTGCACCTTTGTAGCTTTGTTTTGGAAGCTTCACATAAAACTTTAAGGTTTCACCACAAAGAGCTTTAATATCTGGTAACAATCTTCCAGTGTCTTGCGAGAAGCTTTCATATAGCTCTGAACATTTGCGCGGGAGTATCCTGTCAGCAGTTTCTCCTATGAGAAGAAATATTGCTTATCTTGCACAGTTAGCCTAGTCAGATACCTGATGAAAACAATAGAAGCGTTACATATCACTCTATTACATAATCCTAGAAGCTGTCCTAGAGCTGGATTTCATCGAATCGAGCCTGGAGATCGTCATAGGAGTGGAAACCATCGTCCCGGAGCAGATTATCCTCATCGTTATGAGTATGACTAATCCGATTCTTGTTTTCTCTTCTCTCTCTATGGAGTAGAACCCTTCTCTCACTTGGGTATGAAAAACCCTAGTTCCTTGTGTTAGGGATTTGATTGTAATGACTTGGGATGATATTACTGTTTGATTTTAATCGAATAACGCATGTTTAATGAATTGATTTGAGTCTGATCAGCTTTTCTCAATTTCTGCTGCAACCTGAGATAGATAGAATCTAATTAGGTTGTTAGAGCCTCTTCATTCGATAGTAGGAGATTGGCTATACGAGAGTTAGCCAATTTACTGCTTTGTACTGGTGTTCTTGGCGCTAGTAGTGGAGTTCTGTGTTCATAGCCTCAGCTTTCTATCCCGGTGAAGACTAGTCGTCTGCCGGGTAGTTAGACTGAGAGGGCTTGGTCAGCTTAAGAGATTCCAAGCTACTGTCGGATCTTCCGCAGTCTAATCAACAGTAAATCAACCCATGGAATTGCAATTGAACCTAATTAAGGGGCTAGGGGGACTCAATCCCGAGTGACTCTTACCTGCTTTAGAAACCCGAACAAATTACTGCTTTCTTGTTGCTTTTATTTTTCACAATAATCACTCGAACTAGTTTGCTAGATAATAGAGAATCACGGAGTAAGCAGTAGATCTAGACCCCGGGTTGATAATTAAACTTGCCTGTTACTGCAGTCCCTTTCATTGGTTACACTTGGCCATTGTTAGGTGTTGTGTTTTAGCGTGTCAAGTTTTTGGCGCCGTTGCCGGGGAACCCTGTAGGTTATTGGGGAAACGTGAGAATTTGTTACTCTAGCTTTTATTTACTGCATTTTATTTCTTCCACCTGTGTGCCTTCACGGGTTGCTTCTGCTGATTGTGTGCAGGTAGTGCATGACCCGTAGCCAGTCGGGGGATCTACTACCATTAGACCAGGAGCTTGAACGAACTTGTAGGAACTTCAAGCGGGCTCTAAAGGCGCGACTGGCTGCGGAGGAGGCGCTAACATAGCTACAGATCGGAGAAGAAGAAGAAGGAGAGATGGGTGATCCGCAGAACAACGATT